TACTTAACCTCTCTGTGCTTTAGGTTCCTTATCTGTAAGATGGGAGATAATCGTGGTAACTGTCTAAAAGTGAGTATTAATTTAAATAATGTACACAAAACATTTAGCACACACAGTATCTGACACAGAATAAGTGCTGAGTCTTACCTTATTTATAAATTAATGAAATAATTAGATTCACAAAATGTATATGCATGAAAAACAAAATACTGCAAATATATCACTATATAGAACTGTTTAAAGTCCTTCCTGAACCAAGATGTTGCAGCACTATGACATCAACAAAGCATTGCTGAATGAATGAATGAAGTTAAAAAAAAAAAAGCCACAGCATAATAAGTGCTGGCCTGACCATTGTGAGAGTACTGTGTTCACTTCCGAACATTATGCTTTAAGAGAAACAAAGTATAACCAGAAGCAGACCAGTAGGATGCTCCAAAATCTAAAAAGTATCTAATAAGAATGATTGAAGAAACTGGGAATAGGTAGAGGGACACATTATTGCTGACATCAAACATTTGAAAGTTGTCATGTGTAATAAAGGGGAGCTTTGCTTGATGCTGCCGTAGACAGCAGAACTTGGGCCAGGAGATAAAAGTTATAGGCAGGTGATTTTAGCTGAACATAGGAGAGTATTTGCTGAAAGTCAGTGTTCACCATGCAGGTGAGGAAGTGGTAAGTTTTCCATCTGTGGAGGTACTCATTAACTGAACATTCGCCTAACAAGGATACTGTCAAGGGGACTTTTTAATTGGGCTGGGGGTTATTCTAGATGGACTTTGGAGTGATTTCTTTGCAGGAAGTTGAAGATCTGAACCTTACAGGGAAAGAAGAGTGTTACTACATTTAAATTAGTTCTCAAAGTGATAATCTCAAAGAAGCCAAAATGCTCTCAAAGTCAACATCCCCATAACTTTCCCATGACCAGCTCACCCCTGTGCTTTTACATAAAATTTCCACTATAGCCACTTTTTGGGCAGCTCATTCAAGGTCCCTGTTAAAATATGATTTTTTCCTAGAAGAAGTATGGCTTTAAGCCACTCAGCCATTTTCATCAGCTTCTATTATACTGCCTGGTATATAGTAAGAATTATTGGCCGGGCGCGGTGGCTCAAGCCTGTAATCCCAGCACTTTAGGAGGCCGAGGTGGGTGCATCACGAGGTCAAGAGATCGAGACCATCCTGGTCAACATGGTGAAATCCCGTCTCTACTAAAAAATACAAAAAATTATCTGGGCATGTTGGCACGTGCCTGTAATCCCAGCTACTCAGGAGGCTGAGGCAGGAGAATTGCCTGAACCCAGGAGGTGGAGGTTGAGGTGAGCCGAGATTGCGCCATTGCACTCCAGCCTGAGTAACAAGAGCGAAACTGTCTCAAAAAAAAAAAAATTATTTATTGAATGTGTTATCAGTCATTCACACCTTAGATCATACAAATTTATCAGATTAAATTTACTTGCCTTGGAAAGGCTCTGAAGAGATAGAAATCTAGACAGATAAGTTTAGAAAACTGTGAGGGGTCACAAGGGTTTTACCATTTAAGCTTCAATCTTCATGACACACCGTGCAAACCATGCACAGATACCACGACCCTCTGAAGGTACTGATTTTTTCTTAGTTGGAAAGCCAGCCTTTCCTCTTCACAGATGAAGTCCTATGCTGGGCAGCAATCTGGGATGGGATTTGCCAAAGCCACTTTGTGCCCTGGCCTTCTGCCAAGTCCATCGATTTAGCCCTTTAAATCACATCATTTAAGCCCACAAATATCACCGATTCTATTAGACAAACTTCTCTGGCCAGCAGCAAAGAAAAGAGAGAACATGATAAGTCTTCTAAGACCATTCTTAATCTTTCATGGTTGGAGAACTACATTGAGAGTGGGGTTTGCTGGCAGAATGCCTTTAAATACTGACCGGTTTTGTTTCTTTAGTTAAGAATATGCCTTGAGGCTTACCTTAGGTTAAAGGCAGATGAGTGTATCTGCCAAGTATAAAGGTATAGGGTAATGGGGGAAAAACTTCCAAATAATATTTCCTTAAAAGATACCAGAAACTCCATCTCTAGTTACTTGTTCTCCGAATAATAGCAGAGTAGACCTAACAGTAAGTATGCAGAGAAAGGACTGGCCTCTGAGCACGGAATGAGGCTGAGGCTAAAGTGAGGTTCAAGTGGCTGCAGCTGTGAGGATTGGAACAAGGCAAGGAATTAGGCAAGTCATTAGACATCTATATGAGTCTGCATGTCGACAGACAACGGAGGAAACCCATTTTTGCATTATTCTCTATTCGTAGTATAGAGGTGGGCATGACTACTTTACAGAGATTTCCAAGGCTGGATACCAGACCTCTCCTTTACCCTCCATCATATCATCCCTTTTCTTTTAGCCAGACAACATTGCTTTAATTCCAAAGTCACAGCAACTTTCCTAATGAAGGAATTCATGTTAATATATTACTAGTTATTAGCCATGTGATTTATTATTTCATCCAGGGGTAGTTTTGGAAATGTAGTCCCTTAAAGCAAGAGTGACTCTAATAGTACAATCTCAGGCAAAACTTTGTAGATTTCTTTTTCTAAAGAGCAATACTATGAGGCCTCTTATCACAGAGCCCAATAGAAAATTACATAGACCAGACTAATTTCAAATGCAAAAGATGAAAATTAAAACTGGACTTTAAATTGACTATATATCATCCAATTATACTTGCCTCAAGTTACAAATTATCATGATTTTACTGTTGTCTCTCTTCACTACTTTAACCCATGCATCTGGCACATAGTGAGAATTCAATGAATGGTACTGCTGTGGCCTTCATTATGATCACTATTAGAGGCAGAGGTAGTAATAGTGCCACTCTAGTACCTAGCACCATGCCTGGGCCATGTTAACTATTCAAAACTAAGGATTATTTTTATATCTTTATTGCCCCAGCTTCTGGCATAGTGCCTGGCACATAATAGGGCACCGATTGAGTTAGTTTCCTTCATTTCCACCTTTCCCTGGGATACAATATTCTTCTGCTTCCTCCACAACTGTGCCTTACTGAAGGGGTTGTAGATCACCCTGTAGCAGTAATGTTTCCTGTAGCACTACCACCACCAGCGACACCATCTGAAAGGACATCTAACCTTTTCTTCCATGGTAGTCTCTTAAGTGGCAAATGGACAGCAAGTGTTCAAGACCATTTTTCAGATGGGGATACCAGGATTATGAGTGGTTACCTTGTAATTTTAGCTTACCTTTAATGCCTATTTCCTATTAAGCTGAAAATATAAGGCACCCTGGAAAAATAAGACCCCTTGTGTTCCCCACAACCCATCACCCAACTAGGCCATAATTAATCTCATCATATGTCTTGTTGCACTTGGCAGTGCAGCAAGACTGCCCTCACATTTTCATGCTTAATTCATCCTCCAAGGATTAGCTTAAGTACCATCTTTATGAAAGTTTCTCTGAGACCTCCAGCCTTCACTGAACAGGGCTGTGCTGTTTCCTGTCCTCTACCAGTGGCTAGCAAAGTGCTATTCTATTTTTTTTTACTTGAAAGTAGTGAAAGAAAGTATCAGTGCTTCTTGAGGCAGTGAATTAGCACCCTGTTCTCTTGGGCTCCAGACATGGAGAGAAATTTGTCATTTGGGCCTGCTCAGGGCAAGAGGCAACACTCATCTTCAAATGCTAACTTCTGAGAAGGTTACAAGCACATGAACTGGAAATACCACTTGATATAAGATACGCCTCTCCCTCTGCCAAAGCAGGAATGTCATTACCTGGAAGACTGAGGTAAATGTTCGTGGAAGCTTCATGTCTTCATCTTTTCTGACATCCAGAAGGTGAGACAAGAGGCTCTTTATCACATTGCCATGTACTTTAGCTGGCAAAACAGTTAAGTAATGCAAGACACTGGAATAGGTCCATTCTAATTCAGCCTCCAGAGGGGCCTGGAGGCCTCAGGGATGAGAGGGAAAGTGGAGCAAATCACCTAGTAGATCTGAACCTCATTTTCTCCCTTGGGGAAGATCATCACTCCATTTCACAGGGATACAACAGGGAGCTAATGAGGAATGTATATGAATTTGACTGTAAACTATGAGGCAACTGCTCAATGCTGTGATTCATTCTATGCAATTGAAGACAAAGGCTGTCTTTTTACCTTCATCTCCCAGAGAAAGTTTCAACACATTGTAGGAGCTCAATAACTAGGTTTTTACTTTAAAACTAATTATATTAAATATAACCTGGATTTAGATATAATACAAATAAAACAGACCATCAACTTCTCAGAATTTAATCAAACAGATTCTCAGATCTGTTAGCTTTTGGTTTGAAATGGCAGAGGAAAAAATCATGAGAGGGCACAGAGGGTACCTGCTTATCTTTTGCAGTTGGCTTTGGCATATTAGAGTAAAAATACCCCTTCCCCCAGTGAGCAGCAGCAAGAAGCAGGGTTGCAGTTAGCACTGAAATAGGATTTCAGTCCAGAATGTGCATCTGGGGCAGTTGCAAATGTAATCTTGCAAATCTGCACAACGTCACAGAGCTAGAGCCTGAAGGAAATTGGCCAAAGATGATCTTCAAATTTGCATCACTAATCAGAGGCGTTACCAGGAGTATTTTCAGGCACCGGGAAGAGAAGGAAGGTAGGAACTAGCTTATGCCACATCTTAGGAGGTTTACCCTATGCTAGTTACCAACTGACAACTGCTAGTAATATTATTAAGATTGATACCCTTAGTAATAATAAATAAAGCACAGAGGGCTTGAGTAACTTATTGAAGGCCATAGAACTGGGAAGTCACAAAACCAGGATTTAAGTCCAGGTCTTTCTGACCCCAAAACCTGGGCTTTTTCTGTTATACTTCTTTGTAAGAGGAAAAATGATGGTGTCATTGAAGTCATTTGGGATTTTTCAACTCCTTAGCAAGGCTACCTCCATACTTGTCCACTTGAGACCTCCAGGTATCTAAGGATATTTTTGGTCTTTCTCTGTTTCCTCATTCAGCTTTCTAAATTGCTATGAACCATGGCCCAACTGTACTACAAAAAGGTCAACTACTCACCATACAGAGACCGCATCCCCTTGCAAATTGTGAGGGCTGAGACAGAGCTCTCTGCGGAGGAGAAGGCCTTCCTCAATGCTGTGGAGAAGGGGGACTATGCCACTGTGAAGCAGGCCCTTCAGGAGGCTGAGATCTACTATAATGTCAACATCAACTGCATGGACCCCCTGGGCCGGAGTGCCCTGCTCATTGCCATTGAGAATGAGAACCTGGAGATCATGGAGCTACTGCTGAACCACAGTGTGTATGTGGGTGATGCACTGCTCTATGCCATACGCAAGGAAGTGGTGGGCGCTGTGGAGCTTCTGCTCAGCTATAGGCGGCCCAGTGGAGAGAAGCAGGTAAGAGAAATTCCTACAGACTGAGAAATAGCCAGGCACAACAGGGAACCAGGTCAGAAGCCCTGAAACTAGGGAAGGTTAGGTGGTCTGGAATTGAGAAGCTCTATTTCACAAATTGCACCAGTGATCTCAGGTAGCATCCTAGAGCTACCCTACATGGACCATGCTGAGTTTTCCTTATTTACATTTTCCTTATTCGTGTTCGCCCATACTTAGCGACCTAATGGTATGTTCTTTGTTTCCAGAATATTCAAGGCCCTTCTAACCTTCGTATACCCTGCCTTCTATCTTCAGTTTCTTCCTGGACTCAAAGGTTATATTCTAAGAAAGGAGAAACAAAATGCAGACTTGGGCTTTCTGCTTCTCATCAGCCTCTCTCCTGAAGCCAATACAGGAGGCTTTTAAACTTGAGTGCCATGGTACAGATACTTACGGATATAAGGCCTCATATATTTTTCCAGCCCCTGTCAAGTGACTACATTCTACCTCCAGATGTTTGGGTTTTTGCCTCTGTGATTCTCATATCCTCCAAGACACCTAGGTTTGATACTCTGGGGTCATTTTTTATTTGTCTGACTCCCTTGCCCCCATATCCAATCCCCAAGTCCTGTGGTTCCTTCCTTCCAAATATCTTTCACAAACTTTCTCTCCTCTCTAGTTCATCTTTCACCAGTCTGGCTCTGGTTCCCAACATCTCTCTGTTAGATGAATGGTCTCCAAAGTGTGGTCCCTTGACTGGCAGCATCAGCATTACTGGGGAACTTGTTAGAAATGCAAATTATCAGGCCTCTACCACAGTCCTATTGAATCAGAAACTCTGGGGAGGGGCCCCAACTAGCCCTCCAGAGGATTCTCATGTACAGTCAAGTTTGAGAACTGCTGTCCTAGACTAATATAAAACTCTTCTACACTGGTCCCCTTGTCTCTAGCATGTTCCCCTCTCTCAAGAAATCCTGAGCAATAATGCTGCCTTATTCTCCCTAAAATAGCATTATAAGCTTGTAGTTCCTGTACTACATCCTTTTGCAGATTCTTTTCTGCTGTCTAAAAGTTCACTGAAAATGAACTTACAACAGGTAGATTAGCAGGAGAAAAGGTCATACAAAATTTATGAACATACACATGGACATGGAAACCATACACAAAGGTTGAAACTCAAAGAGAGGTCAGATGTTGGAGACATAAATACTCTCTTCATAGGGGAGAAATGTATGGACCTGGGAAGCAGATATTATTTTATAAATGATTGTCTTTGAATGCTGCCAACAAGTTAAGGGAAAGTGAGGGATAGAACTGCATAAGAACTAATGTTGTCTTTTTCTTTCTTTTTTTTTTTTTAATTTCCATAGGTTATCGGACAGCAGGTAGTTTTTGGTTACATGAGTAAGTTCATTAGTGGTGATTTGTAAGATTTCGGTGCACCCATCACCTGAGCAGCGTACATTTCCGCCTATTTGTAGTCTTTTACTCCTTACCACCTTCTCTTTCCCCCGAGTCCTCAAAGTCCATTGTGTCATTCTTATTCCTTTGCATCCTCATAGCTTAGCTCCCACTTATGAATGAGAACATACAATGTTTGGCTTTCCATTCCTGACTTACTTCATTTATAAAAATAGTCTCCAGTTTCATCCAAGTTGCTGCATATACCATTAATTCATTCCTTTTTATGGTTGAGTAGCATTCCATTGTATATATATATATATATATATATATATATATATATATATATGCCACAGTTTCTTTACATACTTGTTGATTGATGGGCATTTGGGTTGGTTCCATATTTTTGCAATTGTGAATTGTGCTGCTATAAACATGCATCTGTAAGTATCTTTTTTGAATCATTACTTTTTTTCCTCTGAGTAGATACCCAGTAGTGGGACTGCTGGATCAAATGGTAGTTCTACTTTTAGTTATTTAAGGAATCTCCACACTGTTTTCCAGAGTGGCTGTACTAGTTTACATTCCCACCAGCAATATAAAAGTATTCCCTGTTCACCACATCCATGCCAACATCTACTATTTTTATTTTTTTTAATTATAGCCATTCTAATAGGACTGAAGTGGTATTTAATTGTGGTTTTGATTTGTACTTCCATGATTATTAGTGATGTTGAGCATTTTTTCATATGTTTGTTGGCCATTTGTACATCTTCTTTTGAGAATTATCTATTCATGTCCTTAGCCTACTTTTTGATGGGATTTTTGTTGTTGTTGTTGATTTGCTTGAGATTTTCATTGCAGCCTTTGGATATTACTCCTTTGTCAGATATATAATTGTGAGGATTTTTTCCCCACTCTGTGGGTTGTCTGTTAACTCTGCTGACTCCTCCTTTTGCCGTGCAAAAGCTCTTTAGTTTAATTAAGTTCCAGCAATTTACCTTAACTGCATTTGCTTTTTGGTTCTTGGTCATGAAAGCTTTGCATAAGCCAATGTCTAGCAGGGTTTTTCCAATGTTATCATCTAGAGTTTTTCTAGTTTCAGGTCTTAGGTTTAAGTCCTTATCCACCTTGAGTAGATTTTTGTATAAGGTGAGAGACGAGGATCCAGTTTCCTTCTCCTACATGTGGCTAGCCAGTTATCCCAGCACTATTTGTTGAAAAGGGTGTCCTTTCCTCACTTTATGATTTCTTATTATGCAAATAAAGTCCCCTAGGTAATCTCTTGCAGCTACCCTCAGAAAAATACATGAAAAGTCCATCTGGGCAAGGTGATGACTGCCAGTCTTTTCTCCATGGTTGATCTTTCTTGGTGATTTGATTAGATTTCTAGGGAGGGAGTCTTAAGACAATTGCATTTCTTTTGGAAAGAAGCTTTTTTAGTAAGATAAGAAAGTTCCAGAAAGTCCCTCAGTATCCCTAAAAAGTATCAGAGAGACAAAGAGGTACAGAAAGGTCAGAAAGAGAGAGCTTGGGTCTGATTCTTATTTTTGAGGCCTTTCCTTTTTTTTTTTTTTTTTTTTTTTTGAGATGAAGTCTTGCTCTGTCACTAGGCTGGAATGCAGTGGCACAATCTCGGTTCACTGCAACCTCTGCCTCCCAGGTTCAAGCAATTCTCCTGTCTCAGCCTCCCGAGTAGCTGGGACTACAGGCGCGTTCCACGACACCCGGCTAATATTTTGTATTTTGGTAGAGACAGGGTTTCACCATGTTGTCCAGTCTGGCCTTGAACTCCTGAGCTCAGGCAATTCCTTGCCCCAGCCTCCCAAAGTACTAGGATTACAGGCATGAGCCACTTACCCAGTGGCCTTTCCACTTTTCAAAGCACTTAGCATGCTTAAGTGCCATATTTTGGGAAATTATTTTCTGCACCCCATTGCTTTCAATAACTACAATGTCTCCTCATTAGAAGAGAAACCAATCCATGAAGCTTAGCACCTCAATGCCCTCATGCAATGGTCTTTTCCAGTCCTGTATTCCTCTAGTCCTTTCCAAATACCCCTCAAGACAGACAGGTCTCTCTTCACTGTCTCTCTTTAGAAGCACAGAATTAGGCACATAGTAGGGCATAAAAATACTAAATCATCAAAATTGGAATACCTCAATACATTGTAAAAAGTAGAAATAGTACATGACAAAACAAAAATTGCAAATTTCTTAGAAATAGTAATAATAGAAACAATCAGCATCAAATCTAATGGTATATGGCCAAAGCTGAGTTTAAAGGAAATTCATAGTTCTCATATTTGCCTAACAAAAAGATTGAAAGTAAATTTAGTTATAACTCACAGACTAAGAATTGTAATTAATGGAGCAGAAAGCAAAGATAGTATATTATAGTATTACAATATACTTCCTTGAGTAAAAGGCCTGAATCCCCCTCCACCATCAGCATTTAATACAGAACCAAGAGAGTGGGAATTTCTCTCTTGTTCACTGCAATATTACATCACTACAAAACTTCTTGGTACATCACCAGCACTTCATAAATATTTCTTTAGTGAATGAGTAACATACAACCTGCACTGTGCTAAGTATCTGACATGGCTTATCCCATTTAATCCTCCTAGCAACTCTGTTACATAGACAGTGTTATTATCATCGCTATTTTATCATAAGAAAAATTGAGGCCAGCCATGGTGGCTCACACCTGTAATCCCAGCACTTTGGGATTTGCCCGAAGTGGGCAGATCACTTGAGCTCAGGAGTTTAAGACCAGCCTGGGCAAAACCCAGTGTCTACCAAAAATATAAAAATTAGCTGGGTTTGGTAGCACAGGCCTGTAATTCCAGCTCCTGGGGAGGCTGAGACAGGAGAATCACTTGAACCTGGGAAGCGGAGGTTACAGTGAGTCAAGATTGCACCACTATACTCCAGCCTGGGTGGCAGAACGACACTCTATCAAAAAAAAAAAAAAAAAAAAAAGAGTAACAGGATGATTACTTCAGTTGTCCAAGCTCCAGGTCCAAGATCACAATTAGTAAATGTGAGAGCCAGGATTCAAACTCAAGCAGCTTAGCTCTTGAACACACTCACTTAATCACTAAGCCACACTACTTCCCTAGAAGTATGAGTAAGTCAGGATTGCCAGCACAGAAGTTCTGAAACAAAGTAGATCAATGGAGGATATATCAGCCCTCTGGAAATGAGGGGCATCAAGGATTTGGATGACTAGCAAACCAGAGAGGTGTGAATATGTTCCTGACTTGACTTGGTCCACTTCACCATCCCCATTAAAACTGATATGTTTTATTCCCCATTTTTCCCGAGCCCTGCTAAGTGCCTGGGTGATTTAATGTGTTATTCTATACTAAGGCTTACCCAGCTACCTGGCTCCAGAATGACCTTGCCCACCTCTGAAAATCTGCAGCCCATTGGCTTCTTCCCTTCACTTGACACCAATCACTTTGTACTATTGGTTAGCCTTACTTGAGTAAATGTCTGATCTCTGTAATTAGATTGTTTCTTCAAATGTGAGGCAAAAATCTAATGCTCAGTGGTTTTCATGTTTCTCTTATCAGTACTTAACCCAGTGCCTAGTACATGATGGGTTATATATA